TTTTGCTAACAGCATGCTTAGTTTCTTTTATACCTTCTAAGAGGCCAGTATCTCCAAGCTGAGAGATTTCTTCTCTTTAACAAAAATGTACATTAATCAATATAATTTCATAATTTTACCTTCTGTTGTTCTTAATATTTATTTATTTATTTTATTTACTTACTTACTTATTTAAAATAATTGTTTAGCCACCCATCTTAAAACCAAACTCTGGGCACCTTACACCCAATAATAAAAACCATATATACAACTAAAACAATAAAACCAAAAAAAGGAAAAACAGAAAAGTATGGTGGTACAACCCCACATTCTCATACTATGACCTTACCCTATCTGAGCACTGGGGGAAAGAGCCAGGTCTTGGGTGCTTTCTGGAAGGTTAAACGGGTGGGCACCTGTCAGATCTCCAGGGGCAAAGGTGTTCCATTGAGCAGAGGTCGCAGTAGAAAGGGCACACTTCTGAGAACCCACAAGGTGACAATGCTTAAGGGAAGGGATTTGGAGCATTCCTACCCTATTGCTCTGGTGGGACAGGCAGATAAAGGAGAAACAGTCCTGCAGGTAACCTGGTCCAGACCCAGGTGTTCAGACCCCATTGGATCTCATGTTGCATACTGGCTGCACTAACGAAAACAACACACAGTAACAACCAGAAATGGCCAGAAAAAGCTTGCATGATGGGTTATTAGGAAGAGTAAGAAATGAATAAATAAAATATGTCACCTCTTGCAATGGTCAACCCAATGCTTCTAACAGATCCATTAGCTGCAGCAAAGAATACATGTTCCTTTGTTGCTGTTGCTCAAAAGTGAACTTTTCGGAACCAGCTGTCTATTTTCAACAGTCCATGTTTTCTTTACTTGGGGCACATGAAAAGATGTGATTGAATAACTTGCACATTGAGGGGGTTTCCAATGGCCACCTTCTCGCCTGAAATGGCTTTTATGGCTCTTTTCCTTTCCCATGAGCTCTTCCCACAGAACACTTTTAGCAATATCACCTTTTGCTATCTACAGCCCACACTAGTGGGAAAACATGTGGTTTCATGTGGGGAAGGAACAACAAAACTTCTTTCACCCTTCGGGGTAGTTTTCTGCCTCTCCCCAGCCCCATCAAGCATTACCTAGTGTGAGATAGGAATATCATGCGCAGGAAAAGTACAGTAGAGTCTCGCTTATCTGACATAAACAGGCCGGCAGAACATCGGATAAGCGAAAATGTCAGATAACACGCAGTAACGATTGAGTGCGGTAAAAAAAAAAAAAACACCAATCCGCTGCGCCTGTTGCAATCGATTTTTGCGTTGCGGCGCCGCACTGTCAGGAGCAACAAGAAAGAGTACACTCATGCTCGCAAACAAGCGGGACACTTTTCTCGTCGCCGATTTATGCATGTTGTGTTT